CCCCCATGGAGTAGGCTCCAGCTGCGGGGTGGCAAGCAGGTGGCCCCTGGCCAGTGGGTGTCAGGACCTGACTCCTCACAGGGACGCATTCCTTCCCCTCAGGGGTGGCCTGCCCACATCCCTGGGTGCTCAAGCCTGGACCCTCTTGAGCTGGGCTCTTGAGGTGGGCTGCCAGCTGGACTGGGGACAGGCAGGTTCGGGGCTGTCTGTTCTTGGCCCCTACTCAGGAACAAGGCCAGTGTTTCGTGGTCCCAGCCGGGACACAGCTGTCTGGGCCCCCTGTGCGGCTGTCCGACACCTGCCCGGACACACCTGCACTCGGGGCACGTGACTCGAGGCCCTTCGTGTGGGCACGAGGATCCCTGCCAACATGCAGAGGACGAGTGTCCTCCAGGGACCTGGAGCCGGGCCACACCCCCTTCCTCTACCTCGCCACCGCCTGGGGACGGCCACCTCGCGACCGAGGACACCGCGGCTCAGGGACACGGGCAGCTCTCAGGTCACTGGTGGGCAGTCAGGCCCAACCCCAGCTGCAGTGGCCGCCGGCTGGCCGCTCGGTGACAGCACTGCCCGGACCCTTTTCTTTCATCACCACTTCGAGGCGGGGCTCCTCTGGAGCCTTCACAGATGTTTAACTGCTTAGAGAGAGGCTGCAGGGGGTGTGAGTGGCAGGCACACGCTGCAGGGCGGGGATCGATCACCCGGCTCAGGTGTCTGACGGCCAGTGGCAGGAGCACCTTGGAGGTCAGGACCCAGGACGGGCTCGGAGGGAGGGCCCTCTGGAGACGGCAGCTGTGGCAGAGGCAGCCCTGGCCGGGCAGAAAGGACAGCAGTCAGCACTGTGGCTTGGACAGTCCCCAGGCCCACACTGCAGCCATCAAGGACGGTGGCCAGGAGGAAGTCCATGTGTCTCTTGGTACGTGCCCAGCACAGCGCGGCCTGCCAACGCCTCTGCCGCCTGGGGTCCCTGTGGTTCTCGAATTGTGCTGCTGGGGAGGAGCGTCCCCATCTAGCATCAAGGCAGTCGCCGGGGCGGTTCCTGAAGGACCTGGGGGGTGGGGGTGCAGGACAGCCCCGGCTCTCCCACTGCTCCTGCGTCTGACAGTCTAAAATCTGCTGGAAACCGGGCAAGGAGAGGGCAGGGAGAGTGGGAAGAACCCTCCTGCCTGAGGCTCTCCAGGTGCCTCCTTGGGGCTCCAGAGGACCGGACCCTCCTAGAGCAGAGTGGGTCTGACTCCCCTCCCTTGGGCGGAGGCCTGGCTGGACGTGGGCAGGAGGAGGAAGCTGTGCCAGGCGATGCCTGCCTGCAGCCTGGGCTCCGCTCAGCGAGGGTGGCGCTGTCCGTGGTGCTGAGCACTGGGAGTCACGGCTGGGGCGGGGGACGCTGGTCTGAGGCGTCTCCATGAGGAGAGAGGGGGCCTGGAGGCTGGATGTGGTCTTCCTGTGCGGCTTGTTCTCACCTTAGACGTGCAAAGTCAGAGCTGACACTCGAGGCCTCACAGAGCACAGCCAGGCCTACGCTGGCCCCCGAGGGAAGAGCAACGGGTAGCCTGGCAGGTAGGCAGTGGGCACCGCGCCCCAGGACTGGCAGGCGGGGCTCTTGGGCACAAGACACTGGGAACGACCACTGGTCCAGGGAGGCCCCTGACCTCATCTGAGCCGTTCCCGAGTGACAGGCAACTAGGTGCGTGTGTACGGATGGCTGAGTGACCCCAGCCTGTGTGGCCCCCATGGCTCAGGCTTGACCACAGGCCTCTGCCCCTCCCTGGGCTCTCAGCAGCTCCAGGTCCTGCCACGTAGGCCAAGGACAGCCCAGACGTGGACTTTTCTGCCTGCGGAGTCGCGTGCAGAGAAGGCTGGCGTGGGCTCCAAGGCGGCTGTCAGCA